CACATCACAGGGCACGCAAAGGGGATAAATTTGGCTCAGGCAGAGTTGGAAGGTCAGGCACAAGGCTCCTCAGGAGAGGGGATGTCCCTGCAGCACAGGCAGAGGAGCTGCACTGCGGCACCAACGGCCGCCCCATGCACCCCCGGCGCTCTGCATTCTGATGGGCTGGCAGCCCGAGGTCTTTAATCACAGAACCACTGTGGTTGGAAAGGAGCTCCAGGATCATCGAGCCCAACCTTCATCCCAACATTTCCCTAACTACTAGACCATGGCCTTAAGTGCTACATCTACTCGTTTTCCAAACTCCTCCAGGGATGACTCCACCACCACTGCCCTGGGCAGCCCGTTCCAGTGCCTCACCACTTCACCACCAGCACCCCTGGTCAAACAGCCCTTCTGCCAAGGGCAACTTGGCCAGACTCCTCTTCCCATTTTATGGCAGGAAAAAGAGGACAAAAAAAAAAAAAACCCAAACCACTTAAAAAAAGCTATCCCTTGAAAAAACACTGCTGAAGGCAGGTGTGCCAGTACATCATTTCATGGGTCCCTGAGGTAAGCACTCCTTATCCCAGCTTGCAAAGACAAGAAACAAGCCTCCCAGACTCCAGAATTAAGGCACAATGACGATGGTTGACAATCCCAAAGACTGGAGTGAAAGTGCTTCACCTTAATGAAAGAAAATGCAAAAAATCTGCAAGAATGTCTCCTATTCACATTTGCTTTGCTAACTTCTCTGCACAAGGAGAAGCAGCAATATTTTCCAGCCAAGAAAGAGCTTACACACCAGAATTTTGCTAAAAGGACCCATGTGCACATGTCAGCTAAAAAGGCAGCTATCCTGATTAAAATTAAGTCTTTGACCTTAGCTTTATGCAACCGAGAATACCTGTGTCTCTAACGAATGCAAAACATTCATCAAAACACCATCAGGTTATGAAAGGTAATAGATTACTCCTACTTACCTTGTGACTTTCAAGATAACATTACCACACGGGATCTTTTGCTGCAACCACAAATCAGACTAAGACTCCAAGAGATGAAGTTTTTAAAAGGTATCTCTGGATTTGCACTGTATAATTATGAGAACCAAAGAAAGAGTGCTGAACCTTTTACTTTCTCCTGCTCTTACATAAATACAAGTGGTTCAGATGTTACACAACTTCTGGTCTCCTCCTCGTACTCCTCACAAATCCTCTACACCTTCACTCATGTCTGATCTTTTCAGCTCAACTCTCAAATGCCAGCATTCATTTACCTTATAATTAACATCATTATGAGCGGTGACATTTTTCTCATCCTCTTGCTTTTTTTTGTGTCTTGATAGTTTCTGTCAAGGGCCTATTTTCACTTTCAGTTTTTTTAAAGAAATAGTAAAAAAAAAAAAAAATTATTTCAAATTAACAGCTAATGTAGATTGCAAAGATTACTGCTGATGAGGCAATAAGCTCGGGCACTGCTGGAAGCACTCTGGCAATAGGTTTACCTTTACATTAATTGCAATTCATGTAGAGTCCTCTACTTAATTTTCCTGTGTTGCCTTTTACCTTATTCCTTCCAGCATGAAATTTTCACCTACCATGGCAAATTGAAACCAATTTCATACCCTAATCAACGCTCATTAAGTAATAGGCAGAGATGTAAGGTCTCAGATGAGCGAGCCACTTCAGCGGCCAAAGTCTGCGAGGTCTTTTTGGTTCCTTTTTTTAATCTTTTTAATGAAACATCAAATACTAGGAAAACAGCATTACATGTTATATACTGTTTATAGCCTCTACTGCTCACTGGAAATCCAAATAGGTCCACAACCAAAATTTTCTTCTACCAGGACTAATGGCAACATCTTTTCTTCATAATTAGGCATCTGCAGTCTCGGGACACATTTCCAACTGCTGCACTAACTGGATAATAACACCAAGCTGGTAGCTCAGAACAGCCAGAGACCTTGTTCAGGTTCAGTTAGGAAAATGGGCAAAAAAGCCACTTTAATGAACAATTTCAGGATGCCTTTATGTATATGCATATTATAAAAGAAATGGCATCACTCCAACCATTTTGCAGCCTCCTGACTGATCTAAAAATCCTCATTTTTCATAAGGAGACATATCAAACACTCAGCACCAGTGTGCAGGGGTTCAACCCCACACCTCCCATGAACTCTTTGAGAAGCCTAGGCACAAACACCTAAGGACAGCAACACTTATTTACCTTGGAGAGAAATGTTTGTGAGAATTAGGCAGTCGCTTCCACCAGACTACCCGAGTAGCTGAGCCAAAGGCAGGGGCAGCTTGGAGCAAAGTGCATTTAAAGGGGTTTTAAGCCCAGGAATCCTATTTTATGTGCCAGCCATACTCATGTGCTGAATGCACATACTAAAAAAGACTGAGGTAGTTAGGACTGAATTATTCCTTTCTGATGTGCAGAGTGAGCTAACAGAACACCTACACGTACCTCCAAGCATGACAACTGGACTTTGAAGGAATACAATGCTATTTTGAAGGCTTAAAAAATCCCACCCACATTGCAAGATATGCTTTAAGCTAGCAGTAATGGCATTCCCAACTCCAGTGGTATCCAAAGAATTCCTGCAAGATAGGTGCTGCCCTACCTCCATCCCAGCTGCTTTCCAGCCAAACCCCATCATGAAACAGCAAAACCACCAGACCAGTGTCTCACCTAGAGATGATGAACAAGAGCAAAGCAGTAAGAAAGCTCTGACAGCTTTTTTGGTTTTTTAATCCTTCACCTAGGATTAAATTAGCTTTTGTTCTAAAAATGTTCTAAGTCTTGTGGGTTTTTCTATGTGTGTCCAAACAGCCTCTGCCCCAAATCCTTATTTATAGCAGACATCAGGTTTGGTCTTTAATTAGACTTAGCCAATAATGCAAACTTTTCAGCTGAAGTCAGAATGGAGGATGAGCCTTCAACGTGGGATTTCTAAAGAAACCAGGTTTGTGTGGAAAGTAAACAGCCCCTGGCTCCACCAGTGAACCCCAGCCATGTTTCCTAGAGGCTGGGGGGCTCCAAGTCATTAAGCTCCTGTAAGGTTCTGAAAGACACACTGTGTAGCAGAGGATGGATGCTCAATATTCCCCTGAGGAAAAGTTTCACCATTAGACACCAGGGAGAGGATCTTCAGCCACAGTCACACTAGAAGCTTTGCACAAATATCATCCTAGATTAAAGCTCAGCTGAAGCTGGGCTCTGCTGCCCACACATGATTTGTTCTTTAACAATTACTGCTCCAGCTGAAAAACCTCTAGTATAGAGGAAATCACAGTAATAAAGTAGCTTTATTATAGTGTATTTGCCCGCAAAGGTCCCAGGGAAACAGCAGCACATTAAACCCTCCCACACACCTCTGCTGGAGAGGAGAGGGACGAGACAGATGGTTGTGTCCCCACACCAGCACTGACCCGTGTTCTCTGCAGCACTCCAATCCTGGATTCATCTGAACAGTCTTGGCCTGTTTTGATGAATTATGTAGGTAACCCAGGGACACGAGCAAACATTCTACTGAGTTCAGATTAATGGCCTCAATTCAGAGTGAATTTTCTAAATGACCCAAACCAAGTGGGACACACGCTGCCTCATGTGCATTCTAACACAATGCATTCCTTAAGGCAATTTTACTGAATATCCTCAATTCCACATTTAAATGAAATTCCTAGGGAAGATCTGGAAAGAACACCGATAAATGAGGCTAAATAA